GCATTAATTGATACAACTTTTCGCTATGTAAGAATTCGATTGACAAATTTGGATAGAGTATAATAAGGCTTTTAATTATGTCATAAAGACTTGAGAAATGCGGTGGATGACATAAATTGTTTAGTAGTTAATAATTGTGTATCACATGATTGAGGATTATCAATTCTTTTATCTGAATCACAATAGAAATATTATCTTTGATGCTTATTTTGATTTAAATTTATTATTATAAATAAATATGGAAAAATTAAAGGCTAAAAAGTGTCCCAATTTTCTATGCAACTTGGCTAATTAATTTTTCACAAATCATTAGATTATTTGGATTGTTTATTTCAATAATAATGTTTGCACGGAAAAAATATTTACATCATTCAATCAAATCAACATTACGAGCATGTTCGGCAAAAATATTTAATGTACTTTGGTCAGTATCGTAGACAGAATACCATCCTGGGGCTAATTTTTTTTATATAATAAAAAAAAAATTTTTTTAAATTTCGCATACATATATAATATATATATAGATAGATGAATCAAAAACTTTTTGTTAAACTCACGTTCATGCGGTGGATCACCTAACCATTGTGGTATTGAATCAGTTGGTCTGGCTGATAGTGTAGAATAAAAGAATAAATAAACTTTTCATGGTTTTTGAACAGTGAAGCAATTAGAATATTACCTAATCCAGCAAATGCCCAAAATGCAAGACCTGAAAATCTTTTTTGTTTTTCTAATTGCAAAACCTTATCAGCAATTGCTTTGAAATATCTATCCTTATTTTTTGTTGTGGCACGTGGATCATATTTTGAAATATCTTTCCATCCATCTCTTGCCATGCCTTTTTTTCAGAACCTTATTTAGCTCATTGACTATAATGTTTTTTTATATATAAAACTCGCTAGCTTATGTTTTGTGAATTACTAACCAAATTCTCCTAATAAAATCGGTTTATTTGATATGTTAGTGGACCAATCACTAGTATTCTCAAGAAATTCAATCATAAAATTTTCAGCTTTTTGATAATTTTCTTCACTTGGATCACTCGAATTATAATAACCCCAATTTTCAACCCAAACATGAGCACTGGTAAAATCTTAAACATAATTAGATTAACTTCTTTCTCACATAAATTCAACTTGATTATTATTATTTTTTAAGAATAATTTGTAAAATTCTTTTTTATTTCTTTAACAACAACACAAATCAGTCCATTTTATTAATATTAAATTCGAAACATATAGATAGGATAGCTGTCCCACATTTAGTATTAGGAATATTTTTTGCATCCTAACATAAAAAATGGTATGTACCTGCCATATTTACTTGAGAGAAGTTCACATTTTGATTGCATAAAAAAACCGCGCTAATTAAAAAACCTTGTTTTATTTTTGAAAAGAAAATTTTTTAACTTTGTTTATATTTAAAAACATTCACTTTAAACATGGTCTATCATTTTCTTTTAAAAATTGTAAATGTTAATAAAAAATCTCTTTAACATGTGATAAGTGTTCTGGGCAGG